AGCTGGCCCATCTTCTGCTCCAGCTCCCGCAGAGACTGATGCAGCTCGTGGATCTTATGGCTGGCCAGTTCCAGACTCTGAGGCTGCAGACTCTCCAAGTTCACCTTGATGCCCATGATGAAGTGCAATAGGAGGTTTAAGTGCTTGTAGGAACAGGCTTGCTCATGGTCATGGATCTTCTCCTTTTCCACCTACAGAAAATCAGAGAGCCTGATGCTAAAAAAACGTTTGTAGAACCGAAATGGATATGAAGTGTAATGGATGGAGAAAACGTGAGATTACCTACCGTCATATCACAGCCTACAACGTGAAATCTGCAAGGTGTTCGGAATTTGGTGCACAGTTTAATGTGGTCCACATACTGCAGAAGGAAAAGATAGATACCCAAAGGAAAGTAACTATGAAAATGTTCTCTCAGCATAAAAAAACAATATAAATACAACAACAAAAAATTAAACAGCCTAAATACTATTTACTTACTTTCTCTCTGGGAATTTTTTTCTTGGCACAACCTTCACAAATCATGGGATATTTAGGGCATATCTCATCATGGGCCTAAAAAAGAACCTATTCTTAGTAGTATCACAAAAATCCAAAACTAAAAAAATGAAATGAAAGCCATGAATGAATAAAGGATTATTTTCATGCTTGATTAATTATCCTCACATTATATTTAAGAAAAAACAGTTCAGTATTTTTAATGTTTATAAGAAAATAAAGAGTCTTACCTTAATGTTTTTAAAATGGAATGGCTCCTTGCAGTATTTACAATTAAGAGTCCTTTCTGGGCATTCTCTCTCATTGTGACGTTCAAGTTCGTTGGCTCTTAGAAGTTCTTTGCATGATGGGCAGGGAAGGATCCTGAAGTCACACTTTCCCTCATGGTTTGCCTTTGAGAGATAAAGAGCCACACAGATGGTGAATGTCATTTAAAACTATTTGTAAAATGCAAACAACACTGAAAGACAAAACACTGAAAGAAAAAAAGAAATTTGCTGGTCTTAGTTGGTCTCCCAGTCTGGTCAAGCTAGTTTGTTGGTGGGTTTGGGGCACTTTTCAGCTTGGCAAAGCTGGTTAAAGCAGTTTTATAAAGCAGGGAAGGGACACACAGTACCTCATATTCTTTAATGGTGCCTGTCCAGCTGCATTCCTCATTGATGCAAACAGCTTCAAGAGCTTCAACTTCTCTTTTGGCAGCATTATCAGGAAAAGCCTAAAAAGAAATTGCATATAATAAAAGTAAAATATTTCAACTTTCATGCGTCTCATTACTGACAGTGAAAAATGGGTTAAGGCCTGTTCACACAGTTCACACCAATGGACGATAACATTCTGTTTATTATATGCGCACAGAAAAAAATATTTCAATAATATTGTTCCTCTGTGGTGTGGATTTTTCTATTCTTATACAATTACAATGTGTATTAAACCTTTACTGTTATTGTTATCAATATAGTTGTCATTGTCTTCAATGTATAAAAACTGACTGCCTAAAATCTTGAAAAGAAAATAGATTTTTTTCCCTACTGAATTATTTAATTTATGAAAATATACTCACTCATTTAAAAACCTATAGCATAATTATTATTAATGGGATAGGTCACCTAAAAATAACAATTGTGAGGACTGCCTGCCTCATTCACTATTCACTTTCATTGCATCTTTTTGCCCATAAAAGCTTTGTCATTCCACCCAACAAGTCAGGTTTGAAACAACTTTCACTTTAACATTTGCCACCACCCTTCCGAAAAACTTCAGAGGAAGTCACAGCTTCTGCCATATGTTACTACAGTTACTGTACAAACTGTACTTCAGATCATTTAAAAATAGAACAATTGTATTGTAGTAAAACTGGATATTTTTCCATTTAAGTAACTTTGTATTAGCCACCACGGTTACAAAAAAAGTCCGAAATATACAAAACAAAAATTTATTGTGGTTTTACCATAGTAACAGTATTTTAGTAGATGTGGTATTTTAGTGGAAACTACAGTGATTATGGTATTTTAATCATCACTTTATTTTTATTTATTTATTTGTGGAAGGTCTATCATTACTAAAAATATTTCAAGGCGATTTTCCTACCATTTAAATCGTTCTTTATAATAAAACGAATACTTACACAGCCCTGTTTCAAAATTGATGTTGGTTCTTCAAATATGTCCTCCTTTATACAGGCACTGCATTTCTGTGGTCCGGAGCTGCGATGGAAAAGGAAAGGTTTCATACACACATACACACACAAGAAAAACAAAAACAAATAAATACAAAGGCACACCGCATATAATAAAAGAGTTGATTTTGACAATAGCTGCAAGTCTGGCTATTGTAGTTTACACCTCGCCCAGCTAAACCTGAAGCCGAACACAACCTGACAGCCTGCATTTATTTATGTTTCCCGATCTGAAGCAACGTTTACTGCTTGTACGCTCATAAAATATACCATAAAAATGGCACGGGAGGCCTGACAGCTCGTGTTCATCTTTTGTAGTGTCGTGTCAGGTGGGCCATCTGGACTGAATGCCGCTTACCTCACTGCTTTATTAAAACAATAAGAACAGAAACGATGTCCGCACTGCGCCTGAAACGGTCTCCTAAGGATTTTCAGACAGATATTGCACAGATGCTTGTCCTCCAGCTTGTTGGCGAGTATTTTCTTGGGGAAGCCAGGTTTGTTGCCTTCTAATGAAGATGGTGGAGAGGGTTCCTGTGCAGCCATTATTCCCGATCGCGCATGTGACCAGGCTCCGGAGAAGAGACACGAATCTTTCTACACATTTCACTGAAAGGGGTTGTAAACACACGATTTTGCATTGTGTCACATGAAAGGATTAACTTACTGTGCATAGTTAAATACGTCTAAATACACGCACGGTTTAATGTTTATACAGGCATGACTGACAAAATAATACCATCGTCTTAATAAATTTTTATAGTAGCAAGGTGCATTTACTGTTGTTGGGATCTCGGATTATTTTCATAACAATACATTTTGTTACGTTTTAAAATCACATATGTCCTACCATTTTATGGTCCAACGAACATTATAAAACCTCCTCCTGCAGTGCTGTGAAACATTTTATCAAATACATTCAGCGTTCTTGCCGTGTGCAGTCATAAGTATAATCATAATTTATTATAATTAATAATATTGTTTATAGTGTTCCTCAAAAATGTGAGTAACTAGGCGTCGCAGTCTCTAGCCGATCATGGATGGTAGCGTCCACTAGAGGGCGAATGATGACAAAATAAGTGAAGCTTTTTCTTCTTCTTCTTCTTGTTTATCGGCGGTTTTGGCAAACCAACTTAAAGGTGCATTACCGCCACCTACTGATCTGGAGTGTGGAGTGAACAGATTTGGTAGAGAGGATATATATTATATTTAAAAAAACAATTAAAAAAAAATTATATTTTATATATATATATACCACAATTACAATTTATATTCTTTCCATATTTCCTGTCTTTTTTAGATAATTGAACACTTCTTCTTTAATTCTTGATTGCATTTGGCTATTCCCTAGTAATATCTTGAGTGATACTTTATCATGTCCCATCAAACCTAATTTATGATTAAGTTGATTTCTTTCTCTTTCATACGCATCGCATTCTAGAAGAATGTGCTTTACTGTTTCTGGATTGCCACATTTATCACATCTTCCATTTTCATGCTTCCCTATTTTGTGTAAATTTAAATTTAAAGCTGAATGTCCAATCCTCATTCTTGTTATAATAACATCTTTCTTCCTACTCCCACATCTTATTCTCTCTTCACCTACACATCCCTGTATCTGGTAAAGATGCCTTCCTTTTATTCCACTATCCCACAACGTTTGCTATATCTTTCTTACTTCAATTGATATAATTCTCTTGATTTCAGATTTGCTAATTGCTATATTAATTTCACTATCTGAGTGCTTCAGAGCCATCTTAGCCAAGCAGTCCACTTCCTCATTTCCCTCCACCCCAGTATGAGCCGGTACCCATAGGAAGTATACCATTATCCCTGATTGTCTAATTCTAAACAAGTACTGTAATACTTCATATATTAAATCTTGCCGTGCTGCAGATTTACCACTCACTAGACTTGTTAGAACAAACATTGAGTCTGTACATATTACAATATTATTTGGTTGTATTTCTTCAATCCATTGTAGTGCTAATATAATTGCTATTAATTCTGTAGTAAAAACAGACAAATGATCTGATATTCTTTTGGCTATTTTTATTTTAAATGCAGGAATATATACTGCTGCTGCTGTCCTTCCAGATTCAGGATCCTTCGACCCATCCGTATATATCTGTAACTGTGAATAATATGCTTGATTTATATACTGTTGAACTACTATATTTATAGGACTGATCTTCTCCTTTTCCTTTATTTCTAATAAGTGAAGCTAGAAACTTTAATGTATTAAAATGACAAAATAAAAGTCTTCTGGCATTATACATTGTTCTTTCTTTTATTGAACAATCATAACAAATAATACAATAACATATAATAGAATGCATATTTAAAATACAACAATAATAATTATTATTATTATTAGTAGTAGTATTACTACTACTACTATTGTTGTTGTTTTTCTAAAGATAAAGCAATATAATAGAATGCATATTTAAAATACAACAATAATAATTATTATTATTAGTAGTAGTAGTATTACTACTACTACTATTGTTGTTGTTTTTCTAAAGATAAATATCAAAAATTAGTTGGTCTTTAACATGACTGCCTAAAACCTATAATTATATATAATATTAACCTATACGATGTATTATTTTTGATTTAATAAAATAACCCAATAAAAGTTAAAATTTTTCCTTCTGATTTTTTCACTTAATAAATAAAATCGTCAAGATAAAAACGTCAAACAAAGATCCATCATATTTTGCAGTGGAGCTACTTTCCACCATTCGTTATTTGCCAAGTATTTTTGCCGAGCATCTTCGTCTTTTATTTTGAACATATTAAAAAATAATATCTTCGTCACCATCTGTCAGTCGTGCTTTTTCACGGATACGGACGCTTGTTGATACTGTGGCACGAAACGAAAGCTGAACGGATAATTGTGATAGCTGGCGCAGATCTACCTCAGGCCAGTAGTAGTTTATTACTTGTTTCTGTGTAGATGTACAGAGTCTAATGTCTCGAATCTCATGACCTAGTATTGTAGTGTGCGTTATAGCAGGCCAGCAATGGACACTCTTCGAGATGGCAGCCCAGGCATTTAGATTACACTAATCAGACTTCAAAGCAGCTATTTAAAATACCCTGGTGCCTATTCAGTTTTGTGGGCTAAACACTGTTGACTGTCTTCATTTCATTGAATAATTCCTTGAACGCTTACTCGTTCTGGGACCGAGAACAAGGACGAAAAGTAACGTTACTATTAGTTTACTTCTCTACCGAAACTGCAGCTTCAGGTGGTCGCTTACAAGCTTCGGCAATAATAAGGTAAGTGTGCAATGTTAGTATGTCTAATTTTAGCTGTTTTAAGGAAAAAAACAAATTATAAATCATATGATGTTTGTTTAATGTTTTCACGGAATGAACTCCCAATTCATTTAAAAGTCGGAGGAGAGCGAAGTACAATCTTTGTTATGGTGTATTTTTTCCCCTTTTACCATCTATATTTTATTAAGGACATTTTATTTAGTTTAAGCCAGAAACACTTATATACACTATGTGTTTCATGGGTTTCTCTTTTCCACACAGACTATGGCCGAAGAAAATATCCAGTTTTGCAGTAATTGGTAAGTAAAAATAAATACATAGAAATAAGTGAAAATCAATCATATCGTCATTTCACGTGCCCACATGCTTTTTCCCCACGTAAAGCACAAAAGAGGATGTTAGTCAGAATGACAGTTTCAGTCACCATTCACATTCATTTCATCTTTTCATTTTTTTTTTTCAAATGAAAGTGAATGGTGACATGTTCTGTCATTTTGCCTAATATTATCTTCTGTGTTGCATGTAAGAAAGAAAGTCAAACAGGTTTGGAAAATCTTGAGGGCGAGTACATAGTTTTTATTTTTGGGTGAACTATTCCTTTGGATAAGAAATGCTGTTTTGTAGTTTCGTTTTATTAGACAACCTTTGGCTTTCACTTAGGTGTGTTATGAGTTACCAGTCCCTCCCATCAGTCCACCTGGCTGTACTGCAGTCAGTGTTTGGATGACACACTTTTATCCAAAGCAACTTGTGTTATAATTTTTACAGTGACAGCTTCCCAGGAGTAACCATCAGTTTAGTCTTAGTCAAGGACACAAGGGCAATTGTGGTGTTTCTAGAACCAATATTGTGTCAACCAACTGACCATGATATGCTCTGTCTCTAGCAAGCATGACATTCCAGAAGCCAACTTTACAACACATGAGATCCACTGTCGAAGGAATATTGCTCTTTGTGAGGTGTGCCAGGAGCCTTTTCCTCATGCTGAGCTTGTGCAGCACAAAGAGATGGACCATGCAGAGGTATGATCCGGCCATGGTGTATGATTAAACGACTGTATATTTGATAATATCCCTAAAGACCTTAGTCAGAGTGCTGTGGACATGAATAAAAAAACTTTGAAGAAAATCTTCTGGGAAAAAAAAATTCAAGTCCGTGTAGGTTGTGAGAATCAGATTAAAATTGTATATATATTTTTTTTTTTCTGTTTACTGTCCCATAATGTTTATCTAAACCAGCATGACTTTATTCTGCTTAACACAGACACGCACACAAAATATTTTGAATAATTTTTTTTCTTTGTAATGTCTGTACAATGAAGGTCAATGGAGTCAAAACAGTGATGATAAAAAAGGTAACTCTTTATTTTAAGGTGTCCTTACTTACTAATATAATAACAACTGCAAGTGTAACGTTATGCTGAGAGAACAACACATCCATCCAGCCCTGTGCGGAAGTCTGACTCCACCTCAGGAGAGGCACAGTAGTAGGGCAGGGGCTCAGTCTCCTGGAGCATGGTTTGAGGCGCATTCAATCCATAACCTAATACACAATAACAGCACAGGGGCAGCAGAACGCAGGGGTCCACCACGACCCTTGGAGGACAGACTACACAACAGCACCAGAGGAACAGTGATGGGAGGAACCAGGAGATACGCAGAAACAAGGAACAGTGATTTTGCTTATTGTAGGTATCCGTCTGGCTGTTTTAGTCCTTATTCACAAAAAATATTCACCATAAACTAGGGATGCATGATATAGCCTTGACAGACATTTTTAAAATTGAACAAGTCTGTTGATACTGGATATCTAATTGTGAATTTCCCCTATTTTTACATTTATGCCAACTTTACACTGCAAATGAGGCACAAAAATGCGTCTGAATTGGCAATTAGGCATCTTTACTCAGAGGTGGCATAAATACATTTACACAGCAATTAAAACTACATTACTAGGGTTATACTAGGGGCTGAGGTGGGTCAGAGCAGTAATAATTTAATCTGGCTTTTATGCTGCATTGCGTCTTAACACAGAATATTGAGCAGACACATAGAAGATGCGTAAAGATACCTTTAGATTACTTTTGTTGTCATCTAACACTTGAAGTTAATCTTTAAAAACTACTAATAATTTAATAACACTGTTAAATGTGACATTTAGCAAATCTCAAATTGAATATCAATTTTTAGAACTCTACTTTATAATGGTTTTATGCCTAAATTTACTTGTAGCATGTAAAATGATTGGTTTTCATTTTTAGTATTTAATTTTTAAATAATTTTGACAAAATCCATTTGTCCACTTTGGATAAAACCATCTGCGAACTGCATAAATGTGAAAATAGTGTAAATATAAATATTGGCCATAACATTGAATGAGTCAGAGTTGTCATATCAGTTCATCCCTACAATAAACATAATGGATTTTGAATGGGTTTTAAACATGTTGTTGAATATGATGGGAGCTTTCATCGGGTATTAACAGGATGTTCGAGCAAAAAAGAAATAACCTTCCACTCTGCTCATTTCCTCAGTGCTGGATCAGGAAACGGAGCTGGGGAACAACAACAACAACCTGCTGTGGTCTCTGGGACAACTGCCAGACTATGAGTCCTCCAGTCTGGACTACATGCTGGCCCTCAGCCTGCAGAGTGAAGGTGACTTGGAGGACCCCCGTCAGGAGGGCGTGTGGACTGATGTGTGGGACCGTCACCTGGGAAGGACACCAGCCCATAGCAATCTCACTTCCCAGCTCCCCTCCAACACTAAAAACAACTGCACTGCGGCCTCCCCTAAAATCAATCCGTCCGTGGGCCACAGCCCCTCCTCAAACATCATGCTACCTTGTGAGTTCTGTGAAGAGCTCTTTCCAGAGGAAGACCTTATCTTACACCAGGTAAGTGATGAGGCCCCAATCATCCCATCACGTTACACTCCCTCTTGGCCTGATATTTAAGCCAGGCCTCTTGTGTCTTGATAGAGCCGGCAAGTGTGAAGTTGCATCAGCCACATTGGTACTTGAGAGTCCCCTCTTTTGAGTGCCATTACATGTCTACGTTAACGGAGTACAACATAAGCCATGTTCTTCATGGCAGGCTATTGTAATGTCAGCACTGATGTTGAATCTCACACTCCATTCCTTCTTGTCTATTGTTTCACAATGTGGTGTTTAGTTTCCATGGGAACCTCCTCGAATTTCAGCCCTCTAGCTTCTCCCACAGGCCCAAACCCTGTGTCAGATTCTTCTCCTCTTTCTGAGGCCATAGACTCATAGAGGAGGGGTGTGTTATCGGAGTCACTTGTTTTGGATTTTTGCCTTTAGTGGCCAGCATAAAGTTATTTACTTTTTCGGTTTTTGTCTTCTAGACCGGCTGCAGCCCAGCCTCTGCTATTGCTTCCTTCAGTAAACAAGCTCCTTCTCTTCAAAATGAAGAAATTATCACTCAAGGGGCTAGTCATGTCATTCCTCCCCACACACCCAGTCCGCCCACCCTGCCCCTCTCCGTTTCGCCGCTCTCCTACAGTTCCTCCTCCAGCCCAGCTGAGGGCGACGTACTCATTCCTTGTGAGTTTTGTGGTGTTGCCTTGGAAGAGGATGTGCTCTTTCACCATCAGGTATAACAACCTGTGTGTTTTTCTCAAGTACATAACAGGTCTTACTAATAAAGTTTTACATATAGACACATAGAATCAAAGATGCTGAACAGCAACAATAAATAATACATATAAAATATACAAATATACAAAAATGGCATAATTGTAGGACATTTTTGTTACACATATAGGTAAAAAAATCTGGAAAAAGGCACTAAATCATTTTGGAATGATAGGAAATTATTGTCCACACATTCAATTCTGAGATGTTTTATATTAATTCAAGTCAGGCACTATATATGTCTAACGTTCTAAATGTGAATGTCACCCCCAATTTTATTTGTGAAAATTATTATAAATAAAATAAAATACTACATCATCTCCACAAAATAGGCACTCATTACAATTCATATGAAATTTTTGTTTTAAAACATTGTGAGAAAACATTTACATAGTTTTGTAAAGAGAAGCTTCATAAATGTTATGATAGATATCTACAAAAGAATACTATTTAATATTATTATAATATGTCTGCGTGAACAGGGTGCGCAGAGGTATGCAAATACATACGTTGACAGGCAGGTAGTACAGCCTATCGTAGTCCTCGGACCGAGGGATATGATTGGGCAAACATTTTATTGTCCTATGCCTTCCACAGATGATATAAATACATTTAGACCATTTAACTTAGTGATTGCTATCTGGATGAGAAGAGACTTTCAACCAGCATAAAAATGTTTTTGAACTAAATCACCTACCCTGCCTTTAAGTAATTTATAAAAAGTATTTAAGTATTTTATAAAAATGTGTCAAATTTCCCTTGGGTTTACATCTAATATGTTTTGTATCATTCATGATTTGTTTCTGCAAGTATGTTTAAGCACTTTTGTGAAAGTAGAGCAGAAATGGAGCCCACCATTTAGTTGATACTCTTCAATCTTGTTATACTGTACAGGACAAGTGTGACCTCCGGCCCCAGACAGCTTATTCAATCGACAGATTGTCTCCACTGAAACCACACCACACCACCAAAGAGGCCCACGAGAGGCAGAGAAGGGTGAGACATCAAGGTGAGCCACCAGAATAGATGAACACAACCTCATCTTGTAATCTACTTATTGATTTTACTACTTATTTACCAAATATATACAGTATGTGTTTTAAATCAGTATGTAATCAATCGTACCTCTGTATCTTACTGCAGCTGACCCTGATGAGGAGCTCCTGCAGCAGACGGCTCACGGGTGGCAGAAAGGCACCTCAGGTTTGGACCAGTGGCTGCCCTCAGCCTACAGTAACACAAAGAACACGAATGCTGAGCAGCAGGTGAAGAGCAGGAACCAAAGTGGCAGAGCAGTAGAAGCCAACACGTACCTCAATGACAGCCTCAAGCCCCGTTCTACAACCACTTCGGGGTATGCTTAAATATTTTTCTGAAATAATTTCTATGTACACATGATACAATGTTAAGAGAAAAGTTACATTGAAACTAAAATGTGGTTTTTTTTTTCCCATGACAGACCTCCACACAGAGGAAGACTGGAAGGTAGAAGGAGTGATAAAAACACAGAGACACCGAAGGTATGTATGTGAATTGTTACAGGAACATAAAACAAAAATTTGGAAGAGACCTGCATGCAGGATATATTAGATGATGTTCTCAGATATTTGATTCTACTAATACTTTTTGACCTGTTCTACATTACATTTTTATCTCCAGGTGCCTAAAAAACATAATGTTGAAAAAGAGGAGTAGAAGAAAAGGGGAAAGAGTCTCACCAATCTTCTGAGTCTCTGTAACTTAAAGCAGTGACCTGTTATTACTGTCTATAGACTATTATGTTTGTGTCTGTAAAACATGTACATGTCCAGGTGAATTTATCAATTCTTTGGCTTGTATTTCTTTAATTGGACTAGGTTTTTTTTCTTCATTGTATTTTTTTCTATGGTGTTTGTATGTGATTTTAAATGTTGTTTTGAGCTTTGCTATTTTATCTTTGTTTCAAAGACGTTGGAAAAAGTTTTTTTTTTTTTTTACACACATTATAACATATAGAAACTCCCATAACACTTTACTGTTTTGTTTTATACATTAGTTAATGCACTAGTTAACATAAACAGTAAACAATGCTGCATTTATTAATCCTGGTTAATATTATTTTTTACATATACATTTTAACATTAACAATTGTGTATGTTAATATTTAGTTCATAATGCATTGTGAACTAATAATGCACTAATGACCAATATTATATTCATGAATTTTTATTAACAATGATTAATAAATGCTGTAAAATACTGAACGTATTCACTAACGTTACAGAACTGTATTGTGAAGTGCTGCAGAAATTACTAATTCTTATTTGATCCTGAGTGTGACAATTTTACAATGTACAGTTAAAAAAAAAATCAAACTTGATATTTGAGACCTTTTTATGGTGGCAACATTGGTTATGTTATTATTCTGACTGTTTATCTTCCTGTGGTCATGTAACTATCACATCTTTTCAATAAAAAGATTTTGCTGTGGCTGAAGGTAGGATGGCCATCACATTGGGTTGTTGTTGTTTTTTTCTATCTATCATCAGGGGGCTGTTTCATAAAAGACGCTAAGAAAAGCTGGGATTAAAGTCCAAACCCTGACTTGAAATAACCTAACCAATCAATCGGGACTAAAGCAGGATAATGAGTCAGGATAATTTGATGTGCAGCTTATTCTTAAACAGCCCTTAAAGGGGTCATATGATGCGATTTCAAATTTTCCTTTCTCTTTGGAGTGTTACAAGCTCTTGGTCCATAAAGAAGATCTGTAAAGTTGCAAAGACTAAAGTCTCAAATCCAAAAAGATATTCTTTATAAAAGTTAAGAGTCAACCACGCCTTCCTAAAACGCCTCGTTTAAACACGCGAGTTGTATTTACAACACTGTTCCAGAACAGTTCAACCCAAATAATCGGATGTGTCCAGCGCACTTTATGGAGGACTGTTTTCTGATCCTGGTAGAGTAGACTACAATGTCGGCTGTTCTGACTCACAGACTGTAAGTACGTTTTTTATATTTTAAGGATTTGAACCGCATAAACACATTGCATTACACCAAATACACAAAATAATGTTCTTTTTAGCAACGTCATATGACCCCTTTAAAATGAACTTAAAATATTTTTATATATAAAAAGCATTTTTTAAGAGGACTCACTGTGATTCACATTCAGCCTTTGTTTTTCAGGCAGCTGGTTATATGTGTTAGTGCTGTGCAATTAATCGCATGTGATTGTCATGTGCATCTCGTCAGTAAAGCGGTTCCGTGATTGGTAGTAAATCGCCATCACCTGCTTTCAGATGGAGCGGCATTTACTACACAGAGCCGTAGTTCACTGACAAGCTAGGCAATATCGCGTTCATAATCGAATGCGATTCATCTGCAATTATGAATGCGATATTGCCTAGCTTGTCAGTGAACTACGGTTCTGTGTAGTAAATGCCGCTCCATCTGAAAGCAGGTGATGGCGATTTACTACCAATCACATGCGATTAATTGCACAGCCCTAATATGTGATGCCTAACTGGAAAGATGTGCTGTAAAAAGTAAAGTAAAATTCAAAAACTGTCAATGGCCTTTGTCTTACATTAATTTCTCACACCACACAGTTGGAGTAAAGATTCAAATCTGTGGCTTGTCCATTTTATTATTCATATCTGGAAAACAAAGAATAAATTAAGTGAAATTAAATAATTAAAATAATAGAAAAACATTCTTTTGAACACACATATTGTAGCATGGCAGTAGGCACACAATAGGCTACTTGCTTAGAATCTCATAACTCACAGCCGTTTTACAAGTCTAATCCTTTGAGTCCTGGTCTATTGTCCAGAGGACAATACTGTAGAGATTATTTATACAAACACAAACAAAAGCAGTCAGGCCTGCATGTAACCTCACTGGAAAATGGAGGCTCAGCATTGACTCACAACATGGCTCAAACAAACACAGTTGTAAGAGAAAGACTCGTGTTACAGTAGGTTCTAATCACGGCGGTAAAGTTAGTTTGACGTTTGACATTCATTAGACATTCAGGTTTTTTGCCAATTAAACTCTTTGCAGCTTTTATGTTTTGAGCCCAAACTAACTCAGATAGACAGAAATATATGCTTTTTATGTTGCACAAGGCTTAATTTCTAGGAATTAAAAAAAAAAAAAAAAACATTTAAATTAATTAAACAATTTAACTACGTGACATTATAATATAAAACCAATACTAAAATGTTCAGGAAAACATACCTGTTATTGCACAAAGCTCCGTTTTTGGAATTACAATTTTATGTTTTTTATAATAATTTTACAACTTTTAATGTATGTAATAATATAAATTAATTAAACTCTGACACAGTTTGAGATAAATGTATCAAACCAACTGTAAAATATTCAAAATATTATTCCCTATAATGCACAAGGCTTGTTTTTTTTTCTGATTATGCCTTTACTGTTTTTATATACAGTACTGAATCCATATTTGTCATGTTTTATATACTGTACCCACTTAAATTAATTAAACTCTGACACAGTTTGAGATAAATGTATCAAACCAACTGTAAAATATTCAAAATATTATTCCCTATAATGCACAAGGCTTGTTTTTTTTTCTGATTATGCCTTTACTGTTTTTATATACAGTACTGAATCCATATTTGTCATGTTTTATATACTGTACCCACTTAAATTAATTAAACTCTGACACCATCTGAGATAAACGTATAAAACCAACTGTAAAATATTCAAAATATTATTCCCTATAATGCACAAGGCTTG